GTAATATCTCAAACACTGAGCGCATAGGGCAATATTAGCGGATAGTTATGGAACTGCTAATATAGTTAGTGACCTTAATTAGCAGATTCACGCAGCTTTGGAACTGCTAAAATCCTTTATCTTGTTTGAAGACTCATAGTTATATACCTCTTAGAATAGAATTAACAGACTAAGATATTTGTTTTGATACCTGCCAAATCACTTCTATGGAAAATACAAATCCGGGAGAATTTATGTTTTGGATGCCTCAGGAAACGGGAATGACGACTACTGGGAATTAGATTAGTGAGAGAGGAGTTGTAAGAATATGAGTAAAAAAAATATCTTGATCTTTTTTGCATTCTAATTTTAATATACACATTATTTTATTATCTCTTTTTTCCTTCTTCTTAAATTTATCATTGTTTTTCCTTTTTATTTTCTACCAAGGTTGTATACACTCTTTGGAGTGTCAAACAATCATTCTTTGAAAATTTCTATATCACAATGTATTGATAATAAAGTGATAATCATATATAAATTAACGATTTAAGCCTTTACTTTAACATGTGGTTCTAACCATATTAATATAGTACAATTTATTGATAAGTCAATCTCTGTTGAAAATTAAATTTCCTCTATGTTTTGGTCCACTACTATAAATTAAATGTTGATATATTTCTCTTAGTGGATTTCAACAAATAAAATTTCAGATCCAGTTTTGAATTGTTCTGTCCTACAATTCTGAGTTGCAAACAAAGAATACTATACATTCACATGAGTTCTACCTATGTACTAAACCTTTCTACTAGATTCTCTCTATATATATTCCACCTAACTAAACTAGACATTAAAGTTCTATCGCTGTAGGGTTGTCTAAGATTTTATTATATTTTTTTTAGATGATTGTAAAAGGTGTTTGATAGAGAAGAAGTTATTAGTTTATTTGAGAATCTTAAATTAAAAATATTAAATTTTCATATTTGATATCAATTTAAAAAATAAGATTCTTAGAAAATATTATTTTTTTGAAAATCATTTTTATCTCACTTTCCCAAAAAAAGAATTCTTATGAGAAGGGTTAGAAATCCAACTCTTGCTCATTTTTTCTCTTTTTTTTATCATAGTTTTAAAAATTAGATCGGTCTTCAAATCAGTTAGGGTACTGGGTTAGTGGGTCAAAGGTTAAACTAGAAGGTCATTAATTGAACCGCATGACTCGATTTTTATTAAATTTTTTTTAAAATATATTCATCTTAAATATATTTTATACTTATAAATTTCAATAAATTCATATCCTATTTTAAATTTCAATTTTCTATCTTATTTAAAATTATCTTTATTTTTATTTTATATAAAAAATACATTAAAAAAATTACATGTTAAATTATATATTAATACAAATTAAAAATATAAATAATATGTACATATATAATATGCTTGTAGTTGATATCACAAAATAATATATGTAATATCTACATAGATATTATATTATTAAATATATAATTTAAAATTAATATACTATACAAGTTATTTAAGGTTGCATATTTTACAAACAAATATATTAGAATAAGTAGTTATTGTTATATTTAATAAGACTTTTTACTCTTTCATTAAAAGATTCAATTTTCATTGTTATTTTTGTAGTTTATGATCCCTTAAAAAAATTGTAGTTGAACCAGTTTAACCCATCGGTTCACTGCTCGAATCAAAAAATTGACTGGTTCAATTCAATTTGAGATAAGCCAAATACATAACCAATATAACTTAAGATTCGAACTGGCTAGACCACTGGTTCCCAGTTCAACCGGTCTAACCGACCGGTCCGATCCAATTTTTAATACATTGCTTTCTATTTCTCTTTCTCTCTCTTTATCTCTCTATTGTTCTCTCTCACTCTCACTCTCACTCCCCCTCCCCCTCTCTCCCTTTCCCAATCTCCCTCTTTCTTACTCTCTCTCTCCTCCTCCTCCTTCTCCCTCTCTCACTCTTTTTTAATTTCTTTCTTATATCTTATTATTTTTTATTTTGTCAATTTTAATAATATTATTAAAATTTATTTTATTTCTACAGTTTAATGATATTTGTTAACACTTTTTTTTATTTTTTTTTAATGAAATGAAATCATGTATTTTATACTTTTCTTAATTGTAAGATAACATTTTTTATTTGTTTCTTTTGTTGAATTTTGTATTTAAATAATCTTAATTATAAATTTTTAACTTTTTAAAATAGTTTAAGTTTTATCAAATGCAAATATTATAATATAAAACATTTGTTCATACATGTAATTAATTTTTTATTATCTTCAACAAAGTAAGATCATAAAAAAAAAGTTTATTGTCATATTTATAAAAAAATTTGAATATATATATATATATAATAATAATAATAATAATAATATTAATAATAATAATAATAATAATAATTACACTACAAGAAAATTATCATATAGTGATACATATCCTATAGTGACACAATAAGTGTCCCTAAAAATTACTTTTACCTACATAATAAATATAATATATGTTGGTATATTGTTAAAAAGTGTGGGTATAAGCTATAGTGACACATAAAATATGTTGTTATATCTCATTCAAAATCAACACTAAAATTATGTGTAGCTATACGCCAAATAGATATATACTTACATATATTATACTTATAGTGACACTTTTTTATGTCACTATATGTAACATTTATTGTAACGTAAGATTATTTTAATAAAGGATATTTTTATAAAAAAAAATATATTTAAATACACAAAAATATATAATTGTAATCAAATATAAAATCTTTAATTCTCAAAAATCTTACACGAATATATTCCAAAATCTTCATGGGTAACTACATAGATTTTAACTATGTCTGAAAATCATGATTTTTAGGGTAAAAATAATTTTCTCTACCAAACGCCTCTAATGTATACAACTTATTAATTTTTTTTAATGAAATTTCTCTTATAATTTCCTTACAGAAACCAACAACTTTATAGATACATTTAGATAAGTCATCAGTCTGTGTGTTCTTTGCTGATGCATGAATATATTTTAACTCTACCAAAACAAATAAATAGAAGAATACATTGTGTATATAGGGCTACAAAAGTATAGGAATCATTTGAGCGCTGCCTCTGAGCTTATTAAACGCCCTAATTTCTCCATCAAACTCAAACTACACTAATTACAGGAAATATTGATGGTAGAAAATGATAGATTAGGCTTCCACTGATATAATCATTTTAGTTAGATCCACATAAACCAAATGGATAGACTTTTCTATGTAAACTTCCCATCTTTTAGAGTTAGACCCAAAGACCAAAGAATTTATGCAACTTCTTGTATCACCTCCAAACCTTAATTAGTTTGTTACCCTTGGTCAAATACTTAACTATTAAATTTAAAAGTTCACATTAGTTCTTGAATGTGATCCAGATTCAACAGTCAATTAATGGTTATAATTCCTTTTATATAAGAAAATCATAACATAATAAACCAGTTTCTGCTGACAGTAGGTAGAAAATCAGCATTATAGAAAGTAGTCTACCTGACCTGTCAGACATTAAATTGTCTTTGTAATATGAAATACAAATGCCTATATAGCTATAATCAGTACAACTACATCTGTAATATTCTGCTAAAGCAATCTAAGTACATTTCATTTCTTGAAGATACAAACCTATAATTAATGATTGGAAGAGAAAAAAGAGAGTTAACAGAATGGCTACATACTGCTAGTTAACATAATAAAGATTGAATATACTTGCATCTTGAGTATCTTTAATTGCTTTCTGGGACATTGTGAACAGCCAGTTATGGGTGTTGTAATAATTAAGTTTGAATATGATAATATTTATTTTCTCCGCAGCTTGTTATCGATCCATAACGTCTGTGATTTTTAAAAAGTTCTGACAAAATCATTGTTAAGTCTTGAGTGAATGGACTCCAAAGTGCTAACCTAATTATTATTTGGTTAGAATACAAAATATGTAGCTGACAATATATCACAGAGGTTCATAAATTCAGCTCACTCTGTGAGAAAGAGATTTTACAATGATCACGTACTTGATAGAACCAAGTCATAAGCTGCCAAGATGAAAACAATTATGCTTAAAAACAATTGCTAATTAATAGTCTTTTTTATTTCTTATTTAGCTTGTTACACTGATGTAGTCGGATTCTAGTACCTAAGTACTCTTCTTAATGAAGTTATGTTTACAAAAAAAATACTAAAAAGATCCTTTAATATGTAGAAGATTATCCTTTACCCTGCTCAGTGGCCATCAAGAAATATATATTGTTGTCGATTCTCTCACAATAGATATATTATAAATCTAGTTAATGGAAAATAACTATTATCTATATATTGACATGAACATGAAAATCTCTATCATATATGGACTCTGTAAAAGAGACAAAGACGACTTCAAAATCTTAGTTAATTAAAGAGCATACCAATATAAAATGAAGACATACAAATAGCATGGAGATAAGATGATTCACAGATAAGACTTTAGTAAAGAAAATATAAATAAATATTTGATAAAAATAAATCCATTTATTATATTAAAAATATAAAAATAATTTAATACTTATTTTTTATGTAACTGAAAACATTATGATTAAGTGTGTAAAATGATTCTTTACTAATATATTTACGATACTTGTTAATTAGCAATGTTCAACAATTATATTAGGATTGAACTTTCTTGATTATTTTAACTAGTGTTTGCATTTTGCTAATTAGCTTAGTCCGCCAAGCCTTCATATACTAAATAAATACACAATGATTAAGATGAACAAACTTACAATGTAAAAGGGAAACAAAAAGAATGTTCAAATGCTTTTAACTTGAACATGTTCGAATAAAAGACAGTGTTTGAGATGAAGCAAAAAATAGTGTACGAAATTAAAGAAATATATAAACAGAAGCTTACCTTTCAAATTACTGTTGGTCCAAAGGTTCTTGTACGATTTCTCTAGTATCAGTTGTGAAATTTTAAGGTGGACAAGGACAATTTACATTCTTCCATGTTTGTTTCATGTATATTTAAGTGTTATACTGTGTGTAAGAATAGTTTTATCTGAATTTATTGTCTGAAAAATTTCAAAATGGAAATTTTCTTCCAGCAAGATCATTATTATAATGTAAATCAGCAGGTGCATGCCAAACATGTATAGTTCAGTACTGCAATCAAAAGCTAAAAGATCTTGAATTTTCTTCTGTACATCCTTCTCCTTACTATGACCAAAGGATATATCTACTTTAAAAGTTTCCAACAATGCAACATATTGATCATAATTACTAATTATATAAACATTGAATCTGGTTGCAAGAAGGGATGGCTCTTGATAAATATAGTTGGCCTTTATATAATATCAGCCACACTTCAAATCTTGGTCAGAAATTACACACGCAGCATCCTTTTTTGCCAACTGTCACATGCCCTTGGCTGATCTAGAGCAAAAAAATCAGTACATTGCAGAAAGGAAATATAGGACAGACAAAGTTACAGGTGGAAAAACGCAGAAAGATGCCTCCATGACCATGATTCCTTGGCAAAGCACTAGAGACAAGTTCATTCGGATCATCAGATAATACTGAAAACAAAACGTATTAGCTTGGATGAGGATTGGTGCACTCCTCCCAAGATTTTCCAAAAATATGAAGCCCTAAAAACCAAGCCATAGGATTGTAAGTATCACATAGATCACAAGCGATTTCAAGGGGGAAGAAAATATAAAAATCAGCTATTTGTTCATGAAAAAGAAAAACTTACCTGTAGATAGATTCATGCTTGCTATTGCACAAAAGGCGGGGCGTCCAGTGGAAGCATTATTAGCTTCCCAATTTGGACACAAGTTGGGGAAGGAGTTGTAGTCACTGTTGCTTACACTTGCTTCCTTAGGGATCACAACGTTTTGGTGAATGGAAGACATCAAGGCGTGTTTCAACTTTCTCTTAATGACAATGGATTCCTCAATAACGTTGAATTCATCATCTCTTGGCACTTCACCACCCATATCTTGCGAATGAAGCTGAAGGGGTGAGGGTGTCCTTAATTGGTTCAGGATTTGAGGATGATTTTCAGTTGCAGGGCACTTTTTCTTCAACTCTTGCACCTTCCCTTCGCCACTTATGTTGCACATCTTGCTACTTGTCCTTTCCCTTGCCCTTGCCCTTGCTTTTTCCCTTGACTCCTTCATCTTTGCTTTGACACAATAAGCAGGCTCCTTCAACATCCTTTCTTCCAAATCTACCCTTCGCTGTTGTTGTCGAAGGTCTTGGTGGATCATAGAAACCACTTCACCCTCCGAAGATGAAGAGAAGCTATCAGCACTTTGCTTGCTCAGAGTTAGCTCCTTAATTGCCTTCTTGGACTTGGTGAAGAGCCAGTCAAGGGTGTTGCTGGCTTTGTCAAACCCTAACATGTCTTGAAGATCAAAGAACTTGCGGGCGATCTCGATGGACAGCCTCACCCTTCGGTCCCTCAAACCCTGAGAAGTGTGAATCTTGCTGTGCCTGTCTTTCTTGGTGGTTTTTTTCACCGGTTTCTTGGCGATGCCGTAAAGGGCACCACCACTGAGATCTTGGTTCAGCATTGCAGCACAGTCTGCAACTGCCCAATTGGCTAGTGTTTCAGGGATTGGAGTGTGGTAATGAGAGGGGATGTAAGTAACAGCAAGTGGATCATGGAGGAAGGTGTTGCTGGCAGAAGAATTTTCAGGGTGGAGGAAACTAAAAGAAGGGTACTGCGAAGAAGAAGAAGAAGATGGGAAACGAGGGTAAGAGCCTGAGGTGTAATTAGAAGAAGGGAACATTTTACATAAGCAGATTTTGCAATTTCCAATGGACAGAAACCCTAGACAGGTTCTGTGGAATGAGGACCACACCAAACACACAAGAGGTTTCTTATCTATGCCATGCCATGTATATATCTATCTCCCTAGTTAGCTTCCTTACCTCTAAGAATTAATACATCTGTTTTTTATAAAGTTTTTTTTTCTCTGTGCAAGAGAAACTAATTAACTAATTGCTAAGTTAATAGCATAACACATGCATCGGTGGAGAAAAAGAAAGTGGTGATGGAACTGGTATTTGGTTTACACATTTTCCATTAGACTGAGAATACAGGTTCATATATTTATCAGGGTGGGCTGGTGCAGGACCATGGTCATTGGTACCAAAGGGGTGGGGACCGGAGAGAGAGTAGTAGTGTTGTGTGTTGGTATCAGTAACGCATAGGATAAGACACACATAATTGGTGGATTGTGTGCCACATTATGTGGAAGCAACGTAAGCAATGGAGAGTCAAATCATTCAGCTTTAGAGCCCGTTAATATATTATGTATGTATGAATATACGTACTATGGTGTGACTTTCTGGCGTAGAAGAGTTGGATTAATTTTAGGGTTAAACTTGGGATGTAAGAGGGAGACTTTGAAGAAATAGGAGCTAAAACTTATAAGGAGATTTACGTAAACAATAATACTTAGGTTAAACACGTTCATTTGCAACATTTCTATTGATCATACAATCAATACAGAATACATTTTAATTTATATTAAATTTCTCTTTTACATTAATTAATATTTTTTATCGGTAAGAATTTTTACGGTAAAATTTAAATTTAAATTCAAGATTGTGTACATATTATTTCAACTTTACAAAATCCGACTTTAATAGTTTCTTCTACATTAGTATATCATGTACGAATGTTAAAAATATTAATATTTGTAATAATTATTTTTAAAATACGTAAAATAATAAGTTTTACTTAATAGATAGTACGTAGTGTAAAAATCTCTAATTTAATTAATTATGAAATATAAACTCATACCGAAAGAGTTGTTACTTGACATTCATGAATATAATTTTGCATTCATGAAGCTGGTGTGTTTAAAATCATCTTATGGTGTGTTTGGGTGACTAAGTCATTCAAATTTCTTAAATTTTTAATTTAGATATAGTAATTTGATTTATATGAATAAAATTAATTTTAAATATATATATATATAT